CTGGTTTAGTCCTGGTTTAGTCTGGTTTAGACCTGGTTTAGTCCTGGTTTAGTTTAGTCCTGGTTTAGTTCTGGTTTAGACCTGGTTTAGTCCTGGTTTAGTTCTGGTTTAGACCTGGTTTAGTCCTGGTTTAGTTCTGGTTTAGACCTGGTTTAGTCCTGGTTTAGTTCTGGTTTAGACCTGGTTTAGTCCTGGTTTAGACCTGGTTTAGTCCTGGTTTAGTCCTGGTTTAGACCTGGTTTAGTCCTGGTTTAGTTCTGGTTTTAGATCTGGTTTAGTCCTGGTTTAGTCCTGGTTTAGTTTACCTGGTTTAGTCCTGGTTTAGTTCTGGTTTAACCTGGTTTAGTCCTGGTTTAGTCCTGGTTTAGTTCTGGTTTACCTGGTTTACCTGGTTTAGTCCTGGTTTAGACTGGTTTAGTCCTGGTTTATCTGGTTTAGTCCTGGTTTAGTTTAGTCCTGGTTTAGTTCTGGTTTAGACCTGGTTTAGTCCTGGTTTAGATCTGGTTTAGTCCTGGTTTAGTTCTGGTTTAGACCTGGTTTAGTCCTGGTTTAGTTCTGGTTTAGACCTGGTTTAGTGGAGCTGTTTAAAGTCACACTGTGGAAACATTCCGGCAGAGCAGTGACGTCTCCGTGGAAACGAGCGGGAAAGTCCCAGAGTGCAGCTTTAGTCTCTGCGGCAGAATCTCCACGGCGACGGCCCGGACCAGAGCCGCGTTTCCACGACGACCGCGTCAGGGTCACGAGACGAACGGGACCCACCGTCGCCCATGACGATTCACCACGAAAAACTGAACCACGACGAGTCCTGAAAATGTCTCCTCCGTTTCAGAACAGAAGTACTCTTGATACTCGAGTAAAAGTATCAGAGTATCTGTTTAAAGATAAAAATGTACTTAAAGATCTGAAAGTACAAAAAATAAACACGTTCTAATGTTTTAGTCCTGGTTTAGACCTGGTTTAGACCTGGTTTAGACCTGGTTTAGACCTGGTTTAGTCCTGGTTTAGACCTGGTTTAGTCCTTGTTTAGTCCTGGTTTAGATCTGGTTTAGTCCTGGTTTAGACCTGGTTTAGTCCTGGTTTAGATCTGGTTTAGTCCTGGTTTAGATCTGGTTTAGTCCTGGTTTAGACCTGGTTTTAGTCCTGTTTAGATTCTGGTTTAGACCTGTTTTAGACCTGGTTTAGATCTGGTTTAGACCTGTTTTAGTCCTGGTTTAGACCTGGTTTAGATCTGGTTTAGACCTGGTTTAGACCTGGTTTAGACCTGTTTTAGTCCTGGTTTAGATCTGGTTTAGACCTGGTTTAGACCTGTTTTTAGACCTGGTTTAGACCTGGTTTAGACCTGTTTTAGTCCTGGTTTAGATCTGGTTTAGACCTGTTTTAGTCCTGGTTTAGACCTGGTCTAGATCTGGTTTAGACCTGGTCTAGATCTGGTTTAGTCCTGGTCTAGATCTGGTTTAGGATCTAGATTCGATATTTGTTCAGTATCGATTAGAATCTGATTTTCGATATCGTCACTCAAACCTCTGACATTAAAAGTAAAAACTCTGCGTCACGTTCCACCTCGTGATGTCATCAAGTGAACAGCTCCTTTTCTCTTCAGTTCAGTCGAGATCAGTGACTCCAGGACTGAACTGATCCAGGTGATTCTAGTGAAGGTGTGTGGAGTTTAAAAACACAGTGGAGCACTTCCTGTATCACCACACGATGACATCACGAGGTGGAACAGAGCGACTGGAGCTCCCTGTCGCCCTCTAGTGTCTGCTCCCCGTTCTGTCTGGCTCCTCTTCAGTCGGGTTTGGGTTTAGGTGGGCAGTACTCGGATACTTTTACTCTGTACTCGGATACTTTTACTCTGTACTCAAACACCCGACAGAAACAAGAGTACAAAAAAAACAAAACTTAGTAACTTTATTTAAAAATTCACAAAACAGAAACAGACGGAGCGCGAGAAGAGTCGGACACACGACAGAAGAAGAAGAAAAAAAAACACTTTAGAGAATCGAGTTTTATGTTTCACACGAATTAAAAACATCCAAGATCAAACAGAACGAACTCCTGAGAACTTTAGAACATGAGAACATGAAAACATGAGAACATGAGAACATGTTCTAATGTTCTAAATGTTCTAATGTTCTGATGTTCTAATGTTCTAATGTTCTGATGTTCTAATGTTCTGATGATGTTCTAATGTTCTAATGTTCTAAATGTTCTGATGTTCTAATGTTCTGATGTTCTAATGTTCTGATGTTCTAATGTTCTGATGTTCTAATGTTCTGATGTTCCTCCTCACAAACACAACTGGAGTCGTTTTGTTTCACTTCTGTTTTAGTTAAATTTTAGTCCTGGATTAATTCTTCTTTAGTCCTGGTTTGGTTCTTTTTTTTGTCCCGGTTTAGTTCTTTTTTTAAGTCCTGGTTTAGTTCTTGTTTAGTCCTGGTTTAGTTTTTTTTTTTTTAGTCCTGGTTTGGTTCTTTTTTTAGTCCTGGTTTAATTCTTCTTTAGTCCTGGTTCATTTTATTTTTTTTAGTCCTGGTTTAGTCCTGGTTTGGTTCTTTTTTTAGTCCTGGTTTAGTTCTTGTTTTAGTTCTTATTTTAGTCCTGGTTTAGTTCTTCTTTTAGTCCTGGTTTAGTTTTTTTTTTTTTTTTGTCCTGGTTTGGTTCTTTTTTTAGTCCTGGTTTAATTCTTCTTTAGTCCTGGTTCATTTTATTTTTTTTAGTCCTAGTTTAGTCCTGGTTTGGTTTCTTTTTTTAGTCCTGGTTTTAGTTCTTGTTTTAGTTCTTATTTTAGTCCTGGTTTAGTTCTTGTTTTTGGCTTGGTTTGGTTCTTTTTTTAGTCCTGGTTTAGTTCTTTTTTTAGTCCTGGTTTAATTCTTCTTTAGTCCTGGTTCATTTTATTTTTTTAGTCCTGGTTTTAGTTCTTGTTTTTGGCCTGGTTTGGTTCTTTTTTAGTCCTGGTTTAATTCTTCTTTAGTCCTGGTTCATTTTATTTTTTTTAGTCCTGGTTTAGTTCTTGTTTTTAGTTCTTATTTTAGTCCTGGTTTAGTTCTTGTTTTAGTCCTGGTTTAGTTCTTTTTTTAGTTCTTTTTTTAAGTCCTGGTTTAGTTCTAGTTTAGTCCTGGTTTAGTTCTTTTTTTAGTCCTGGTTTAGTTCTTTTTTTTTTTTGTTCTTTTTTTAGGCCTGGTTTAGTTCTTCTTTTAGTCCTGGTTTTAATTCTTCTTTAGTCCTGGTTTATTTTTTTTTTTTAGTCCTGGTTTAGTTCTTTTTTTTTTTTAGTTCTTTTTTTAGTCCTGGTTTAGTTCTTCTTTTAGTTCTGGTTTAGTCCTGGTTTAGTTCTTCTTTTAGTCCTGGTTTAGCCTCGATTTAGACTTGGTTAATCCTGTTTCACCACACGATGACATCACGAGGTGGAACAGAGTGAAGAAATGTTCAGTAAACAAACCACGAGTCCAGGTCTGAGCGACGAGGAAACAACATCACAACAAAACAGAAAACAGGGTCATCTGGGACCTTTAACCTCAAATTTAAAGGTGCACTGCGGAACTTTTCACACTGAGGTCGGACTACGGCGTTTGTTTACTGTGCCGGCGGAATATTCCACACTGTGGCTTTAAACTCATCTCTGAAATTGTGTTTTTTATCCAATTAGAAGAGTTTTTATTGCTCAAAATCAGGTTGAAAAAAGGTCGGTCAGACTCGCCTCTTCACAGATCTGACCCGTAACTCGGAGCGGTTGAACACTGAACGAGCAGGTAGAGGACCCCAACCCCCTCCCCACCGGGAAAAGTTACACAATGCAGCTTTACACGAGTCATTTAATAAGTTCTAGATGATTCTCTGCTGAGAAACTGAAACTCGGAACTGTCCACTTCCTGTTGTCCTCTTTTGTAGTCCACTTTTTGTAGTCCACTTCCTGTCGTCCACTTTTTGTAGTCCACTTCCTGTCGTCCACTTTTTGTAGTCCACATTTGTAGTCCACTTTTTTGTAGTCCACTTTTTGTAGTCCACATTTGTAGTCCACTTTTTGTAGTCCACTTTTTGTAGTCCACATTTGTAGTCCACTTTTTGTAGTCCACGTTCTCCGTGTTCGTCCGTCGTGTCGTCCGTGGCGTGTTCGTCTCCGTGGCGTGTTCGTCTCCGTGGCGTGTTCGTGGCGTCCCCGTGTTCGTCTCCGTGGCGTGTTCGTCTCCGTGGCGTCCTCGCGGGTCACCTGATGGTCCGGTACATCATGAAGTCGACCGTGGTGCATCGTGGGTACTTGCCGACGGAGCTTTCCTCCACGGGGGTGTAAACTTTGATCTGGCGCATGTGCGTGTCGCGTCCGTTCTGATGATTCGCCAGAACCGCGATCTGGATCATGAACGTGCTGATCGGCTCGTTCGTCCTCTGACAAGAGAAAAAACATCAGGTAAAGTCTGTGTCCTCTGACCTATGACCCCTGACCCTTTGCTCTGTCCTCTGCTCTGACCTCTGACCTCTGACCCTCTCTAGTGTTGGTCCAGACGTGTGGATTCTTCGTCTGTGGATTTGAGTTTGTGTGTTTCCCTTTAAGAAAAGTCACATGACCAAAACATCCACCGTGTCGTTTGGTGTGACTCGTGTCGGGAGCGTTTAGAGCCAAACGGGAGCCAAACGGGAGCCAAACGGGAGCCAAACGAGAGCCAAACGAGAGCCAAACGAGAGCCAAACGAGAGCCAAACGAGAGCCAAACGGGAGCCAAACGAGAGCACTGAGGCGGCTCGTTTACACTGAGGCTCAAATCTGTGTCAGTGTCTTGTTCGTCACAGAGAAACAGAACACGTGTGTGTGT